AAAGTCTGTTCTGTGCATGCATTCTGCAGGCCTACATTCCAATGCTCAGGTCCATTGGAATGTAGGCCTGCAGAATGTTATTAATATTTTGCACCTTCCAAACTTTCTTGAATTGAATCTCTGGTCTGTATTCATTTACAAGCATAGCAAACCAGAAGAGTTAAAAATTCAGTATAATATTTATATCTAATATTCTACAACAAAAGCACTGGGTTCAGAATGTAAATAAAGGGTTTGTTTACATTACATACTTTACATGGCCTGGCTTTAATGAAACCTTTTTTGGCTACTAACACCAATGTTTCTGACAGAGTTGCGCAGACAATACTGTAAACAGAAACAATATATCATCAAACAATTCTGTCAAACAAGTTGCAAATTAAAGAACAAATGCTGTTTCAGCTGTTTAATTGTTACATTCACACCATGATGATTCATACATTTACAGTTCAATTAAAAAATCCCAAATCTTGTATAAACACAGTCCTAGCATACGTGTACGCTTGTAAGTCTTGTACGCTTGAATTTATTTTCAATAATAACAATCCAATATAGTGGATCAAGGACATATGCCATCATTCCCATCAATATTCACTCAGAGTGAACCAAGAGTATGAATTATTACCATAACGAAGGCTGTTATTTTTCCCAAATGAGTTCAAGTATGCATAAATCAACTCCTTAATCCCTCCACCACTTTTTCGGACGAAAAGCAACAAAAAATTCGTCGAAATAAGCAAATTTTCAGGCAAAATATTAGCAAATATATCGTATTCACTCATATTAGCCGCGCATGTGAACGCCACAGGGGGTATGGGTCCAATAGCTTATGGATCGACCAATCAGGATCGTTTTTCAATCCCGTGTGGCCAGAGCCACTCAACGATGGCTCTGGGTACGAGATTGCCTTAGTACAGATCAGTGGTTGGTACACCCCGTAGGCCACTCATATAACTAAACAGACAACGGCAAAATGTTATCTATTTGTTAAACAGTGAATCTAATAAATATATAAAATAAATAAATAAATATTGTGTTCAATCTTTGCAGGTTGACAATGACGCGCGCAGTGAAACTGAGGAATCTGCAGACATTGACGACAAAAATGGCGTCATTCAAAATGGCGTCGGAAATGGAAAACACAAAATACAATGATTCCATTCCGTTCTTATCGTTGCTGTGAAAGTTTTCGAAAATATGCGAGAGTTTTAGAGAACATGTGAGAGTTTTAAATGGAATTCATAGTGTAGGTAGAATTAAGTTAAACGGTATTTTATGTCGTATTTATTGCAGGCGGAAAATAACAATTTCCTAAAAGCGTAAAATATAGAGAATGATAGTATAATTTCAGAATTGAAAAATGGCCTTTGAGCATTCTGATTGGCTCCCTCAGTTACTACTCTGAGGCAATAGTTACTGCTCAGACTGCTCTGAGCAGAAACTATTGGTTTTCCAAAAAAAAATGGCTTAAAATCAGAAGTAAATTATTTATGCAAGTTATATTCATAAAATAAACGCGTAAAACTTTTTCAATAGTGAATTAGCTAAAATAATTTGCGGTCGCCTCAGGCTCGGTGATTACAAGCCTATATCTTGTAATCACCTCTAATTGTTAAATAGTAACCAGTAATTAAGGGAAAGATGGCGTCACAGAGAGATATAGCTGCATAAGCTACTGCAATAACACTGGAACAACTGGATTAGAGCTAGATGACTCGTAAAACTGGCAACATAACTTTGGCTGGCCTAGCTCAAAGCCTCGAAATAATGAACATTTATAAATTATTTAGTCGTGTTGATTTGGATGAAATACTGTATAAGCAGTAGAAATTCTGATTCAACTGATAAATATTAGGACCAATCAAATTAGGGAGTTTGTTTTATGATTGTTGTAATATTGTTACTAACAAGTTGCTATAAACTAACAACCTTGCAGTAAATCTGTTGACAGACCTGGAGAATATGTTAATGTTCCTCGGATCCTGAATTTTTCTATTTCAAATGATCTTCATGCAAGTGCGCAAAAACAACAAGGTATATATATACCTGTCTCATATGACAGATAAGGAAATGTGATATATATATATATATATATATATATATATATATATATATATATATATATATATATATATATATATATATATATATATATATATATATAATGATAAAAATTGTTCCTCAATATTCTTGCAAATGTTCCTCCGGATCCCGAGATCACGTCTTTCCAGATCTGTCTGTTGAGAGCATATCTATGGTTGAGAGTTGTTATTATAGCAACTTTCTCAACAAGTTGGGAGTAAGAAGTTTAAACACAACCTGATATTGGTTTATTTGATTGGAAGAACTTTGAATGTAACAAGTGTGCAGAGCTAACAAACGTGAATGACATGATTAGTCTAAACGTGTTTAGTTTTAAGATGTTTTTTCGTTTATAATTACAGTACTATTCGTCTTCATTGATACTGGTTTATATATCGATCATTGCTCACACACCGTAACATTCCCACAAACTATCGTGGCTTTTGATGCATTTGATGCGCAGGATTTAAATAGTGCTATCCAGTGATTGGAATGTTGCATTGTTATTTTTTAATTGTTTTCAAAATCCCCAGTGGCATCGAGTCACTCATTGTTGCCGTCCATGGCGGATCTGATGAATTTGTTACTGTGCACGCGGAAAGCATGAAACTTCACAAATTTTCGTACAGATCCGATTTCGTCCAGTCTCGTGTGAACGCACAGGCGAGAGAGTACGGTTACGAATTGGTCCGGCTCCGTGTGAAAGGGTCTCAAGTTTATTCCAAATAAAAATCGACATCAGGTTGTGTTCCGCGTGCTACAGTACTGTAATTAAATTAATGAATAATTTGTAAAATAGTACACCATGTATATAACTTGGCATATTTGAGTCGCTCCACTCCAGGCTATGAACACTGAGGCTTTGTGATTGGCTGATTATAACAGTAAAACTATTTTTATAGCCGTTTATTGTCTTTTAGTAAAAGACAATAAACGGCTATAAAAATCATCTTTCTGAAGAACGAGTTATAGACACTGTTAAGTTTTGTTTCAGAAAGCAAATCACAAAACGTAGCTAAACGTGTTCATATCTGGTCAGCAATGAAAAGGTGTGTTTAATTAATTCAATAGTTTACAATGTTAGATCATATAGATACTAATGTTATCTTTTGTGTAGTGTGTAGTTAGGAAACATTCAATGGCATCGGATAAATAATGCTCATTGATTTTTGCATTGCAATAATTTGGATGTAGTATACATTGATGCAGAAATATTCATGCGTAATAATATATAATTGTTGAAGGGATTTGTAAATGCAGGGTGCGATAATTCGCGTACCGGAGGTACGCCAAATGTATGGTCTGGTACTTCTTTGTTTTTAGCCAAGTACCACGTAGGTACGCGGAAATTTACTATTGGCGTACCTACATTTTCCTTCTAGCAATAACTAGCAAACCTACCAAAGTATTCAAAACCGTGAAGAACTTTAGCTGTACAAATAGCTGTACATGTAAATTCCACGCATCCGACATATTTTGGGATGAAAAAAGCCAATCTTTGTGCTTGATCAAAAAATTTATCGTCAGGAGCGTAGGAACCGGGGGGGGGGGGCAGGCCCCCAAGTTTTGCCAATTGCCCTTTTTCCGGGAGCAAAGTGCCCTTTTCTTCGGTGAAAAATGTCATTAAGATTGCATTTTTTGGCCCAAAGGGCAAAGGGCACTTTTGGTATATCCGGAAAATTTTTTTTCATATTTAGGAAAAAATGTGGCATATCCGGAAAATGTTTTTGGTATGTCCGGAAAATGTTTTTGAGATAACCTCCCCCCGTCGCCAGCATTTCCGGGAAAAAAATTTTAGATGCCCTTTTTTATTCGAAAAGTGCCCATCGAAGCCTACCTCCCCCCCCCAACCAACTTTTAGAAGCTTCCTACGCCCCTGTTTATCCATCGTCCGAGTGAGAGATTTAAAAATCGTTATCGTCAAACGATCGTTTTCGTTGTAGTGTGGACACTAACATAATTTTCTTGCGTGTTGACAAGTTATCGTTGTGTGGTGTGACCTGGGCTTAATTGTCAATGCTATACCAACGCCTAAAAAAATACCTGTGGTTCAACAAGGGCAAATAATGTTAGCCAATCAGCGCGTTTGTTTACATTTTGCGTTCTTGACCAATCAGAATGCCTGAAATTCGAAACATGTAAACAAAAGGAGTGAGAAAATAACACCTTGTTCTACGCCCTCGGTGACATTCGATATTAAACTTTTTTCGCCAAAACTGACAAATTCTGCTAAAGCATGCTTTCTTCTTTAATTTCCTCGGGGGGATTTTTAAAATTCGATCTAGAAC